AAGAGAAGAAGGGGGAGAAAGGTGGAGAAATTGGGGAAGAAATTCAATTTATTTCATAATCAAAGGTTGTCTTTATTTATTTCTTATGAATATGCATCAGGCTTCTACCTTTTCCCTCTCCGACAATCAATTCCTTCTGAAAATTTCCTCTTCTTTCCCTATCCACCAATCTGGACTGCCATCATAGAATATCGATATCTTGAGACGGCCTAGCGGATCCAATCCAGAATCAAGTGCTTGGTCTCCTCTCCATCGCATCATTAGTTGTTCGAATCAATTGAATATGGAGCTCCATTTCTCCTCCAATTCCTTGATGAAATTTGTTTCCATCCTCCCTAGAATTGAGTGCTCTAATACCAATTTGATAGGATCCCCTAGAAATTGAAAGAACAATTCCAAGCATTCGAGACGCTGGATCTCTCCTAATAAACTCAACTAACTACTGAATATTTGCATGCCCCCCATTTATCAGTAACAGCCTATACAACTTATTGTATTAATCCCCACAATACCCCTGCACAATTGACAGGGAGCTAATTATTAATTTGGGGTTCTATCACTTATCTGGTTAATGTCAATCCTAACCTGTCCTTGTCTTGCAAACTACTTTACTCTGATACAGTTTTCTGGATTACACTGTTTTTCAGGTAACTTTGGGGGTCATAAGCAATTGTTTTTTCTAGTGGGTTTTAGTGCATATGGGTTATGCCTCATTTAGCACCAAAACCCTACACTTAATTTAGGGATTTGGGTATTTACAAGTTGTGCATACAGAGAATCTGTCTCTGTTGAAGAAGAAATAATCTTAATTTGTTAATATCCATGGTGGTGTATATCTAAGTTCACCACTCTTCTGATACACTTGACGAGATTAATGAAAAAATAAGTGAATCCGCATAACATTTTGCATATGGAACTCCTGGTCTCGTAATTCATCAAACAGTAAGAACCAGTACAAAAGAAATTATCTTTATTTCTTGGATCTAAATGTTTTAATCTATTTTTTATATTAAACTATCATGACATTCTTGAAATGTAAATTGCATGTGCAGCTCGGTAAATGTTCTTTCTCCTGCAACTGGCTGCCTGCAAATAATTGCCGAGTCGAACAAAGGTGGTGACCAGAATACACAGAAGGATGGCAGCTCATTTGGAAAATATGAAACTGTTCCTTCTGTTGCATCAAATGGATCATTTGTTTCTAGTCCTCCTGCATTTTCCTATACTCCGTCTACCAGCATTGCGAACTTCATGCCCAGTTTCACTCCTGCCTCCAGTAGCTGTCCATTTGGGTCAAATGTGCACATTTGCCCGTTATTAAGTTCGGTAATTCTGTGGATCCATCCACTGCTGTTTCAGCACCATCAACTTCCGATGTATCAGAACCAACAGTTTTCCAATCCAAAGCAGAGAACAATTCTGTTTTTGGCGGCTTAAGTAATATAAGCTCTAGCATTTCATCATTTGCGACAAGCTCTGGAAGTATTACTTTTGGACTTGGTTCTTCACTTACGTCTTCAATGGCAAATGGTCAGTCTCATTGCCTTCTTGGCGCAGCCAGTGGATTTTTAACGTCTTCCGTTGGAATAGTCTCACAGAGCACACCCATTCAGTCTGGTACATGTGCATCATCATCGTCCTTTAATATCTCTAGTAGTACTTCATTTGGTTCATCCTCTTTCAGTTCCCAAGCATTAAGTCCAAATAGTACTTCGGGTTTTAGTTCAAGTTCGGTTCCCTCGTCAGCCACCAATAGAATTGGCTTTGGAAATGGGCCAACATCTAGTCTGTTCAAATTTGTTGGAAGTTCTTCAGGTGTCAATGTAGTTAGTTCTAACAGTAGTGCAACTGGCTTATCCAGTTTTGGCCCCAGTTCCTCCCCTTCTGGGACCAATACCGTTGGTTCTAGCAGTGGTGCCTCTTCTGGCGTATTCAGTTTTAGTTCTAGTTCTTCAGCTTATACTCCAGGGACCAATGCTGCTTCCAACACCACCAGTACTTATGGTATATTTAAATTTGGTGGAAATTCTTCATCTTCCTCTATGTTTACTACTGCGACTTCATTGACTGGATTCTCCTTTGGTGCATCCTCCTCTTCCTTTCCTACTAACACTGCTCCAATGGTAATGAATTCGTCCTCTGGTGCCTCTTCAAGCCTCGAAGTTTTCTCATTTTCTGCAGCCACCGCTGCAGCTTCCTCGCCTGTATTTGATAATCCCTCTTCTCCCTTTGCAAACAATAATCAAATAAACACTGAAGACAGTATGGTCGAGGATTCAGTGCAGTCATACACACCTTCTCTTCCTGTATTTGGTCAACCATCCAGCTCACCTTCTCCCCCGACCATCATGTTTGGGTTGGCAAATACATCACAAGCCAAGCCCTTTCAGTTTGGTGGCCAACGAAACCAAGTTGCTCAGCAAAATCCATCTCCTTTCCAGGCATCAACTAGTCTAGAATATAATGCCGGTGGGGGATTCTTATTGGGCAGTGGTGGTGGTGGTGACAAGTCGGGTTGTGAGATTGTTAAATTTAATCGCAATAAGCACAGGAAGAAGTGAAGAAAATAAATAGTAAAGCTTTTGTGTGCTTCATGGACGCGGTTTATCACTGAGAAGATGAGTTGCTCAGCAATGGTGGATGGATTGACTCCCTCCTAGCATTGGAAAAGGCATCGGTTTTATTCGTTTAACAATTTTTCGAATCACAGTAGGTTTTTTAAAGAAAAATCTCACTGTTGAACTCTGACAATTATTGCAATGTACCGGTAGAGCAATACTTGAATATGTTTGTTCATGGAATTTGTGCAAGACCATGTTTCAGTGTAACTCAATTGTGTAACATCAAAGGGGAATGTTTCAACATGAGATATATGGGCTGTCAAACATGATTTTCAAATTTACTTTCTTATAAAATTTACCCCTTTGAAATGTAACTTTTAAAACATGTAATGGTTTCTGTCCAAATGTAGTCATCTAGCATATGATGGAGAGACGTTACACTTCCTCTGGAATTTACAAAAAGAATATGAGGAAGAAAGTAGAAGAATAGAACTGCCACTCTTGTGGTTAAGAAAAATATGAAGATCGCATAAGAATGGTGTGAAGTTTGGGGATGTGTAGGGGTGGTCGAGGAATATGTGAGCTAGACTAATTCAAGGACTATCTAGTGTTTTAAAAACTGAATTGGCTCAGCCGGTTCAATTGGAAAAATCGGGAACCGGGATCAAAATTGATCCGATTAGAATTATAAAACCTATAATTAAAAACTCGTTCCAAAATCTGTTAAACCGGTCGGTTTTTAGAAAACCCATGACTTGTTTCCAGTTTAATCTATGTGAATGTATTTTTTTTAAATCTTTAAATGTAATTCTTTTTAAATTTTTTGTAAATGTATATTTTTAAATTTTTAAAAAATCGCCGGTTCGATCCTAGATCGACATTGTGACCATTGACCCTTCTTTTTTTTTTTGGTGGATGGCTTTTAAAACATTGATATTGCCTCAACGTTAGAGTTCACAAGGGAAGATGTTACAGAATATCTCTAGCGTTTTTGTGGCTTAATCATCTTATATAAATTTTATATTCCACAGAAGTTAGCCCGCCTTCACCATTCACTGTTGCAAAAGGGCACTTGATAATGGTGGTGCTATTCTACAATGCACATGTGGAGACGACGAGATCAGTATTTCTGTAATGCTATTGGCTAAAATTATTCCTGGAGGTTCTGGAGATGACAACGATGAATCGATGATGATGGTATTAATCAGTTGTTTCTTCATGTCGATCTTCAAGCCAGGGCAGAAGGAGTCTCTGCATTTTCTCTGTGGGTTGTGTCCCGATGTTTTGGAGATTGATTCTGTTTCGATGAGGCCAAAAGCTGAATCTTCTATTTTTGAGTAAGTTACACTGATAAAAATTGTTAGAATATGCATGATGCATTAGTACTAATCATGTGAGTTCTCCCCCAGAATCCAAGCACGGATTAAATCCTATCAGTAGCAAGCCAAATGTTTAAAAATTTAAATAATGGAACAGTAGGAAATGTAAATTATCTTGAAATATTTAGCCCTTTCTTTCTATGTAGAATGCTGAAGTAATGCTCAAAGAACTTTTTTTGGAAATACTGAAACAACATTTGCAGAGCACGAGAAGAGAGTCCTTGTGAGGCCATTTTCTTTATGCACTAAAATCTGCTGCTTCTGATGCCTTCTCCTAACTAACCTATGTTCTATGGTAGATAGTAGATATGTGTTGAATAGTTAGGTGTAACGATGACCGAACTGTTAAAGACTATATGCGCGAAAAATTTCCTTGCAACTTTCATTTTATCTATTAACTAATTTTGATTACCATTTATAGCCACGTATATATCATTTCATTTACAATTGATAGAGATCTTGATGAAAAAGTAGGAGATGCCCTTCTGCCCTTCATGGTTACATAGAAGAAAAAGGGGTCAGTGAGGGTCTCTTTCTATTTTTACAAGCTTGTCTTTGTGTAAAAGATCACAGGAATCTCTTCCGTTGGTTTAACAAAGTTCGAAAATTTGTTAATGAGAGCCAGAAGGGAGCTTCACAGCTTAGTGGATTTCAATGTAATTATGAGTCATACAGAAGTCTGGATGAATACCCTTCCATGCTAGAAAATAGAATGAGAGTCAAGGTACTCCTTCCGGTCATTGTGATATTAGGTACTGGTATAGCTAATATATCTTGTTGTGACAGTTCTTTGAGCCATTTATATTTCCTATTCATTTAGTTTGATCTATTGCACTCTTGCGGTTCTTCTATTTTGGCATTTCGTACTTGTATAATTTGCAATTCGTGGATTTCACTTTCGCATGGTGTTGTGTGCTTGATTATTGTCTTAGAACAGTTTCTTATTACCTTTCATATGCTTGGAGTGATACTAAATAGTTTGTGGTGAGATATTGATGATTTGTATTCTTCTTTCTCATGGTCACTTTCACCATTGGATTCTCTCCTTTCTTTGTTTTCCTAATTTTTGGGGTGATGGGTAAAAAGAGGGGTCAAAATGTGTTGAGCAACACCAAGCCGGGCCAAGACTGGTCCACCTGAAAACTGTCTAGCATGGTCCATTTTGCCAGTGATTGATTATCAAAATGAATGTCATTTGAGGAATAGAAATGTCCTTAGAATCCAAAGTGATTTTTGCAAAATCATGAAAGGTGTATAACTAAAAGAAATTCAAGAAATAAAGTCTTGTTCTCGATATATTTGAAGCAGATTATAAATTTATTGATTAATCTACCGAAGATTCCAATTATACACCAAATGTTAAGGTTAAACGTGTACACATAAGAACTTGGCATTATTATTTCTGATTGGAAGATGACTAAAACCAAGTTCTGCTAGTCATCTCACATGTAACACACATAAAATCAACTTTTCTCTGCAAAATACACCAGAAAAATATCCTCAGCCTCCAAAACGAAGGAAAACTCGATCCTCGTCCCGTATCACAGAGGTACGTCGTTGCCTTGACTACTCACGCTTCATGGACTTTTTCCTTTTGGAATCTTTTCCTATAGGTGCTTTGAAATAAAGTCTTGTTCTCGATATATTTGAAGCAGATTATAAATTTATTGATTAATCTACCGAAGATTCCAATTATACACCAAATGTTAAGGTTAAACGTGTACACATAAGAACTTGGCATTATTATTTCTGATTGGAAGATGACTAAAACCAAGTTCTGCTAGTCATCTCACATGTAACACACATAAAATCAACTTTTCTCTGCAAAATACACCAGAAAAATATCCTCAGCCTCCAAAACGAAGGAAAACTAGTTCCTCGTTCTGTACCATTGAGGAATGTCGTCTGATCCCAAATCCTCTATAATTGAAGAACAATATTGGGACAAGCAGTAATTTAATACTCAACAACAAAAAGGACATATGATCAATCCATTCTCATTGCATTCTGAGCAATTCATTGCCTCACCATCCCCTTCAGGAACAATTTTTCGACTTCCATTGCAGTTAAAACACACTAAAAACCTTATTCCAGCACAACCTTCACAGGGTCCTTCAGATTTAGCAATAGGAATTCCTTCAAGAAGTGGCTTTAACTTTCCTTGTTCATGCATTCCCAAAACCTCTGCAGCTCCTCCAATGTACCTTCCCTTAATGAACAGCCTTGGAGGCACTAATTTTTCACCCGAAATCTTCCATAACTCGTCCCTATACTCTGAATGCATTGACACGTCCCTCTCGTAAAACATAACCATCAAGTTCTCCAATAGAGACCGGATTCGATGACAGTTGTTGAATGTCTTTCGTATCCCTCTAAGGCCAGTGGTGTAGAGAATAACTGTGTCGCTACCCCCTGGTGGACATTTCTCTTCAAATTCTAGTAGAGGATCAGCAGCTTCCTCGATTTTTCTAGATTTTAAAGGGGGGCCTTCGTCGATTTCTTGCCAATTTATTTCCTCCATTGGAACCCTTCTCTCTGCCTCCTCTTGGGCTTTAACTTCCATTACTGCCTGCTCAAAGGCTGCAAGAAGATTTGGGTCAAAAAGGGATCCTGAGTCCAAATCTGGCCGCCTGAACGATGACACATCAATCTCAGGTAAAGGGACATGGTTTTCATCATCTTTTTGACATTCTGTAGATTCCAAAACCTCATTCTTTGACTCGGATAAGATAGAAATCTCTTTATTTTCTTCGAAATCATCTGGGATTTTTGACTTTTTTCCTGGATAAACATTCTCTTTATCATTGATGTCGTCACCAAACTCCAATTCTTGGTCTTCAAGATCCCTCATAAGCTCTGTAACATCAATGATCTCTGATTCTTGCTTCAATCCATCATTCTCCACAACATTCTTGGGATTTTCTTGGATGGAAACCAGGGGTTTAGGGGCTACGGAATTCGATTTAGGTGGCGATGTACATACATAGCTTTCAAATGAATTTACCTGAAGAAATCTTTCTGGTTTCAAATACCCAATTGTTTTGATTGTCATCAATTTCTTCACTAGCCTTCCTTTTACTCCCTTCATCTTCAAAATCTGGTTCGGGAATTCAAGATTTTACAGCTATATTAAAAATTGGAAGAGAGTAAAATGGGTTTTTAAGTGTCAGAAGAAATTAGGGAAGACAAGCTTTTTCTTCTTCAATCCGACAGCCAGCCGTTGCAGAGGAGAGAGAGAGAGAGATACTGTTGTCAAGAGATAACGGCTAGAATATTTTGAAAATATAAATGATTTGGTGGGAAGAGGTGCATTGTAGCTGGTGTGGACCAAAGAAAACTTGGATATCGGTCCGGATGGTTACGAGTAGGGTCACAGGTGGGATGGGTGTCAATCAATGGATGGAGACATAAAGAAAAAATTTGGGTTAAATGACCATGGTATTTAATACCAACCAGTTTAGATAAAACTAATGTGACATTAAATAAAAGGTAACTTAAATTAATCACTTAATTCCATCGTTCATTGAGTGGACGGGTGTTATAGTATCAATTTTGCCAAATGGTATTATTCTTTTTTAAGCCACTGTTTGGCACTGATTAAAATCTAGATTTTAATCTAAATCAAAGTCAATAGTTAATTTTAAACATATATTTTATGAGATCTACAATATTTCAACCACACATTTTTTCAACTTTTATCAAAATTTTCAAAAAATCTGATTTTTATCCCCATCTAACAAGGACTAAATCAATTTTGAAGTTGTACTTTTTGGCCGTTTCTTTATAAATAAAGAACGTGTGAATACTTTAGGAATTGGATCCTCATTCGATATAGTAGTTGTGGAGTGTAACAATCATCAATTACTACTATAGCAATAAACATACATACATAATCAACCACTTTCTGCCCATAACAAATATTTAAAATCTCGTAAGCACCATAATATAAGCTACAATAGGAACCCAAGCACCACTCGTATTCACACGTAGCCACATGTAAAGAAAATCACTCCTTGAGACGCAAGCAACCAAAATGTTCGAGCACGGGGTTAATCAACACAATATAATATTTGGAGGACCATCTTCAAACATGCAGGAATGAGCAATAATTGTTATGTAAAGACCAGAGAGAAGTTGTATTGCTTTTAGTATTTGAAATTGCATTAATCTTAGAATGATGCAAGAGAGTGCATTTATGGTATTTACAATTGAGGCTATGACCATTGGATGAAGCACATGTGGCTTCATCCATTACATCACCAACTTGGCTTATGTTGCATCTGATTATCTTGAAAAAGGGGAGCCGTCTATAGTCTATATATACACTCATGGTCAATATGCTAACATGATTGGACGTGTCTAGGTTGAAAGTTGTCACATCAATTGTTTTCACAAGTCTTCACAAAGGATTTTCTTAGGAAACGTTTCTGGTCCGAAGCTCTTAGGGGCTAGGGTGCTTCGGCTAAAGGAACTTCGAATTGTTGGTGCTTCAGCCAATTGGGCTTCCTCTCATTGATCAATATATTGAAACCTTGTCTTCATGGATTCGATTGTCTTTTATTGTGATGACCTGGATTGCTCCACGTGGGGTAGCACGTGAGTCTCGGTAGTGAGACATAACAATAGTCCTCAAAGTCTATGTACGATTCTTTATATAATGCGTGGACTTCATTTGTATGAAGTTTTTTATTTGGGGTGAGCGTTTTCCTACAATGGCTAGTTTTTTGACAAAACATGTTGTACACCTCCATAATAACTAAGTTGTATGTATCCATGTATGAGTCTGTTTGGCAAAGTTATTTTGAGTAGAGTTTTTGTCAGTAGGGCTTTTTCAGTAAGAATTGTTATTAAAAATGGTTGACTATTTGATTGTCAATACAAAATATAATGTCAACATTAATGCTTGTTTTACATGTTTTCCGTTCTAGAACAAGAATTACAAAACCAAACCTCCCAATTTCCTTTCTTATAATCAAAACTACCAAATTTTGACTTTTATCTTTTGTTAGGTTGAATCATTTTGAAAATAGTTTTGGGATTGTGAGAACATTGAAGTATACTATAGAATCAAACAGCTCGATTCTATAATTAAAGTTAGAATGACAATTTATTTACAATATATCCATTAATTCTTGGTTCGATCTGATTCTCTTTGATATCGTACCATACCATCCCCTAGTTTTTAGCTTAAAAGTTGTTCTCATCTCCAAAATGGTTCTCTATGCATGAACATAAACGTGTGCAATAATGTAACATTTCATCAGCACATAGAACCAGGTAGCAAAATAAAATATGGTGAACAAACTAGAGAAAATGTATCTCGACTTATCCCCTAATGAAACTCAGGGATACCCCAAAACCCAACCGTGCACGTAGAAATTCTCTGAACTCCGAAGCAGGAGTTGACAGTGAGCCTGAATTTCAGAACTACATAATGATTAAGCATTCTTAAAATCTCATACACTAAAGCTAATATATCATATAAAATATTGCAAGTTGTGACTTAAAAAATGTGGAGTACAGCAATGGAAACCAAAAGAAGATGAAGATGAAGATGAAAAATAATATCAAAACAAGACTTGATCACGAAATAAAATCGTTGTCCTCAAACGATATTTGCTTCTACCACTATGTTTTTAAGCAGGGACGTAGTCAGGATTTCAATCTTGCAGGTGCGAAAATACGTCCGCCCCCGCAATTTCTTTTTTTAACTAAGAAGATTGAAAACCACGATTTTGAGTACCAAAATAGGCAAGTTAAATTGACTGACCAAAAAGACAATCAGTTTGTCGATACAAAAATAATATGTCCATCTATGTGTCCAACGCTATACAAATTGAAAACATGAACTTTAGATGGATATCAAAAAAACAAAAAGCAAACTGTCTATCTTATGTCCATCTATGTGTCCAACGCTATACAAATTGAAAACATGAACGTTAGATGGATATCAAAAAAACAAAAAGCAAACTGTCTATCTATATAACAAATGGTAGAGATGGCTTGGACATCTATTCAATTCATCGGTACATCAACAAATAACACCAAATCAATTACAACATGGGACCATGCTCCATGCACATATAAATGCTTATTAGCACAAAACGTCCATACGTTTGGCCTTTGGTGTGAAAAAATCCTTACATTTCAAATTTTTGCATTTTCACCAATATTTTCACGTTTCATTGCGAAAACCATCATTTTCATCTATTTTTTCAATTAAAGGCTATAAAATGACGAAATTATCCTCATATTTAAATAAAAGAAAAGAAAAGAAAAGAAAAGAAAAGAAAAAATTAAAATCACAGTCCTAAAATTTCAAAATATTACAAATGGGTCCCCAATGTAAAATTAAAAATCCAACTTATGCCAAAACTCAGGTCAACCACCACCTTTGAGCCTTAAAAACTCCGGCCAACCACCACCCAAACCACCAAAACACAATACCATTAGACAACCCTCACTCCCCTCTACACATACCACCCAGCCACCAACCCTAACGTCACCATATTTGGCCGGAATCGATGGCCAAAATCTTCCTTGCATGCATTTACTATCCATGTTCGATATGTCATATAGAGGCTGAATTGTTGAAGACCCATAGGTGGAATATTTGCTTTGTGATCAGATGATGCTAGAATGGGTGGTCCGCAATCATGGGACCCACCACTGACAACGAAAATCTCAACTGAATGTTGTGTTTTCGCTTGATTTGAAAAATGGGGCTATGAATTTTGATCTTGTGGATTCGTTGATGTTGCAAGACCACGAATAGGTGCGCCCTAATAAGTATAGTCAACTGGTATGAAGGAAAGGGCATGGGTCTCGCTGGAGAAGGTGATGTAGTCGTTTTTTGTGTTGACAAGTTGCTGATTTTGGCCAAATCTGGTGATGTTAAGGCCGGTGGCTGAGTGGTATGTGTAGAGGGGAGTGAAGACCGTCTAATGGTATGGAGTTCCTGCGGTTTGGGTGATGGTTGATCGATGTTTTTATCGAAACAATGGGTTACATTAAAATCTCCAAGCCAGTTCTTACTTTTTGGACATCACACTTTTCACCAAACCAAGTCAACCATAGTCAATTTTCCTTTTATTCAATACTCTAGTCC